CTCGGCCTCCACCTCTTGAGATCTAGAATTACAAACAAGTACCAACATGCCTACCCTCAGCAGCCTTTCCTTTTTGTTTTTAAAGATTTGTGTGTGTGTGTGTGTGTGTGTGTGTGTGTGTGTGTACCTGCGTGCTTGTATGCCATGTGAGTGCAGGTGCCCACAGAGGCCAGAAGAAGGCTTCAGATTCCATTCAGCTGAAATTACAGGCGGTTGTGAACCACCCAACCTGGGTCCTCTGGAAGCACTCTTAACCACTGAGCCATCTCTCCAGCCCTCAGTAACCTTTCTTAAAAGTCAAATGGTTACAGACTCTTTGTTCCTTTTTTTTTCTTCTCTTCCCTTATGCATTCTGCCTGTAATATGCAGAAGGCCAGAACTCTGACTGCCATATTAGGCCCTGAGAAAAATGAATGAACTCTAAGGATGATAGAGATGGAGCCTGGGCTCTTGAGTACGTTTTAGAGTACTGCCACCACATCAGCCTGGATAGTCATCCTGTCCCCACCCCGGCCATGGCTTTCACCTCAGATGCTGTGGCATGCACTTATCAGGGTTATTTCCCTTGCAGTGGTCTGGACTTTCTGCTGCCATTTTATACATCATTGTGCCTGGGATTCGCCCCCCCACACACACACACAAAGCTGCAAAAATCCTCAGCTGCCAGTGTTCCCAGGAGGCTGAAAGTGCCAAGGAATTAGCATCCTCTGGGAGCAGTCCTCCTTTAATGAGTCCAGCTCCCTCCCCCAAATGGGGGATATATCTTGCATCCCTTCCCAGTTTCTTCACAGATGAAGCTTCGGATACCCAGGGTGGTAACTTGCTTGATGAAAAACCCTTTCCAGATATATTTCCAACAAGAACACAGGTTTATAATTTGTTTATATTCATGAATAAAATAAAAATGAATGCTGGGTGTGATAGTACGCACTTTGTAACTAGGAAAACCAAGGAAAGAGAATTGTAAAATTAAGGCAGTGAGACCCTGTCTTAGAAAACAATAGCAAAAAGAAAGTGAAATAATGAAGATATGTATTATTACTTGACTCATCAATTAATGCCATGAGCAACTCTGATGAACAGGATGAGAGTTTAGAATTATCATATTTTTATAATATGTAACATAATAATAACAGCTACAGACACTACACACTGTTAAGTATAATCAACAATATTAGTTTGGTGAGAGAGAACATGGTGAGTATTGGCACATGCCACCAAGCCTGATGACCTGAGTTCAATCCCCAGATCCCACATGGTGGAAGGAGAGAACTGACTTCCTCAAGCTGTCCTTTGATCTCCACATGTACACCATGGCACAGGCATGCCCACACATACGTAATAAATAAATGTAATAAAATATTTTCTAGTTCTATACTAGTAACAGTTTTTGTAATCACTTTAAATCTACCCTGGGATTCGGCAAGCCACATTTTATAGGAGTTAGCCACATTTTTTAATTATTTTTTATGTGTATGAATATATTGCCTGCATGTATGTGAGTGCACCTGTGTTGTACAATGCCGTGGAGGTCAGAAGAAGGCTTCGGATTCCCCTGGAACTGGAGTTAAGGACAGTTCGTAGCTGCCATGTGGGTGCTGGGAATCGAACCTGGGTCTTCTGCAAGAGCAGTCAGTGCTCTTAACCGCTGGCTAAGCCATCTCTCCAGCCCCAGGAGTTAGCCACATTATATAGGAGGTAGCCAGGGCCATTATTTATGTCACGTCTTCAGCCATTTTTGTACCATAAATGGCAGAGTCAAGTAGTCATACCATACCACATGGTCAGCAAAACACATTTACTATTTGGCCCTTTGCAGAAAAATTTTGCTAACAAAGCAAAAATTGAAGCCCTGTTTCACAGCACTTGAGTTTTGTGGTGTTTTGTGGTGTGAACAGCCCCATAATGGCCAAAAAAAGTTACCAACCAGAGCTGCATTACAACTTTCATGGGCCTTGGGAACTTATGCCTTTACAGAACTCTTCCACCATGAGATAATATATATTCTACAATGTGTTAATGAGTGGTGGACAGGCTCAGAAACAAGGCTCTATTCTGTCCTATGTCACTGTATTACTTTCCTTATCATTTCAACCAAACACCTGGCAAAAAGCAACATGAGGGAGGAAGATTACTTTGGTTCACAGTTCAGAAGACTACAGGCCATCATGGTTGGGGAGTGACTTTGTGCTGGGTACCAAAAAGGAAGAGAAAAAGAGCCAGTGTTCAGCCAGCTTTCTCCTCTTTCAGTCCACAATCCCAGCTCATGGAATGATGCCCACATTCAGATCTTTTTATTTATTTTTATTTTTTGGTCTTTTTGAGACAGGGTCTCCCTGTAGCCACAGCTGGCCTGGAACTCCCTAAGTAGACCAGGGTAGCCTTAAAGTTACAGAGATCCACCTGCCTCTGCTTCCCAAGTGCTGGGATTAAAGGCATGTGCCACCACACGCAGCCCACATTCAGATTTTACCCCTACTGAAACCTCTCTGAAAATACCCTTACACACCCAAAGGTGTAGTTCTAAATCCAGTCAAATTGACAAAGAAGCTTAATCACCATGTTCACCAATAGAGATTGGGATAGGGAAGCTCACTGGGGGAAAACCAATGCATAAGGAGGGGGAAATAGAGCTATAAATAAATGAGGCATAATCTGCTTTGTTTCCTATCAATCATTCCTCTTCAGATAGCCACAAATGGCAAGAAATATCCAGGACTTGAGCTCCAGGAGAAATGGTCACAAGTCTGGAATCCAGTGTTATTGTCTGCAAGACTCTGGTAAATCCTTCCTTTTTTCTAGCTCCCTGACTCTTAGGAATATTTGCTCTTTATTATTTATTATTTTATGTGTATAAGCATATTGCCTGCATGTATGTAAGCGTACCCATGTCATGCAATGCCTATGGATGTCAGAAGAGGGCATCAGATCTCCTGGAACTGGAGGTATAGATGGTTCTTAGCTACCATGTGGGTGCTGGGAATAGAACCCAGGTCTTCTGCAAGAGTAGGCCAGCGCCATCTCTCCAGCCCCAGAATATCCACTCTTTGCAATGTCTGTGTAGGTCCCACTAGTTTATGAAATTGTGCTTCAGTGACCTATTACTGCATAAAAAGCTATTCCCAAACCTAAAACAACCAGGCTCAGTTGAGTTCTTTTGTTCCACACAGTGACAATGAGGTTATTCACATAGCTCTATCTTTAGTTGGTAGCTCTGCTAGGACTGGACTGTCCAAAATAATTTTACTCACGTGTGTAATGTCAACTGGAGCGTCTAGAATGCCTTGAGGAATCAAGTAGATCTGTCTCTCTATAGGGCTCTCCATAGAGTAAGTCTAGGTAGCCAGACTTATTTATTCAGACCCTTAGGTGGAAGCAGACACTGTCAAGCCTCATAAGGCCTAGACCCAGTCGACAGGCACTTGTACCACATTCTACTGGTCAAAGCAAGGGATTTGACAACCATATTCAACCCACCTTCTGACAAAAGAAACAGTACATTCATGCAAGAATGGGAAGGCTTGTTGGTTGGCATCTATGCAGAAAACTACCACAGTAGTGCTCCCAGGTAGGAGTCTGACTTCAATTGCAAAATCAGATAACTAAGACTCTTATGAACTGTTTAGCACAATGTTGTGGGTTTTTTTTAGGGGATGGTGATTTGAGATAGTAGCTCCTCTGCAGCTCAAACTGAACTAGAACTCACTAGAGGCTGGCCTTGAATTCACTACAATCCTACCTCTTCAGCATCCTGAATGCTAGCATGAACAGTGTGCACCACCACACCCTACCACAATTCTTCTTCTTCTTTTTTTTAGATTTTTGTTGTGTTTGTGTCTCTGTGTATACCTGCGTAAGTTTATGCAAACCATGTGTGCCAGAGCCTTGGAAGGCCAGAAGAGGGTCCTTGGATCCTGTGGAAATGAGTTACTGGTACTTGTGAGCAACCACTTGGGTGCACCAAACCCAGGTCCTCTGCAAGAGTAGTAACCCCCTTTTTTTTTTTTTTTTTTTTTTTTTCTTTTTGAGACAGGGTCTCCCTGGAGCCCCAGCTGGCCTGGAACTCACTAACTCACTGTGTAGACCAGGATGGCCTTGAACTCACAGAGATCCACCTGTCTCTGCCTCCCGAGTGCTGGGACTAAAGGTGAGTGCTACCATGCTCTGCAAGAGTAGTAACCACTCTTAACCACATCTCTCCAACCCTAATAGCATGAGTCTTTCAGTCCCTTTTTACCAGTACTGGAAGCTGAAGTTAAAAGATTAAGTGATTTGCTTCAGGTCATACACTTTAGCTAGTTAGAATGGTTAAGTCCATCTTCAAAGATGTCTCCTTCCACTAAATAATGCTGCTCTTCATTCATTCACTTAAGAAGGTATATTGCAGCTGGGTGTGATGGCACATGCCTTTACTCAGGAGGCAGAGGCTGCCGGATCTACGAGTTCAAGGTTAATCTGTTCTACATAGTGAGTTCCAGGTCAGCCAGGGCTACACAGAAAGACCCTGTCTCAAAAAAAAAAAAAAAAAAAAAAAAAAAAAAAGGAAACTTACCACATGCATGAAGTAATGAAATAAGCATGAAATAAGCATATAGTGACAATTATTTATTGAATACTTCCTATGTAAGATTATATCAGTGAATAGTCACCATAAACTTATGATGAAGGTAATCTTGAAATCTCTTCCCCTTTTTACAGATGACAGTAAGGTAGAGCACCATAAAAGACAATTTCTTACCTTCATAGAGAATAAGATCGATTAGTGAGGCTATATCATAGTCAAAAACATATTTAAACATATAATTACAAATTCCTCTGCGTCCAGCTGCGGTCTGAGCCAGATTACTAACAAAGCCTCACAATCAAGGTCTCAAGTAACCCAGGCAACGCTCCTTCTGCCAATAATAAAGATGGTGCGCAAAGGGCAAGCTTTATCCACACACCCCCACTACCCACAATGCAGCGGATATAGGGGAAAAGAGCCTGCCAGGAGTTAATATGGCTCCAATAGCTACACGGTTCTTTCCCTACGCCTAAGCAGCGACCTCACTGCTAAAACCCAGGTGCCAAACAGAAATCAAATCTCCTTTGGCTCTTTACTACAGAGACGACAGAAGCAACCGAAGCAAGGCAACTTGCCTTGCAGTTATAGTCGGTAATCGCGGAAGCACCACTTCCGCTGACGTCATCACGCCGACACGTGGATCCAAGATGGCGGTGGCGATGGTGAGTGAAGGAGACCCCGGGAACCGGAGCTGGAGCAGGGCCCCCCTGGGTAGCCCAGGACCTTCCGGCGCCTCATGACTGATCCCCAGGAACCCCCAGAACCCCTGCGCGGGATACCTGGCCTGGACTGGCCTCTCACAAACTCCCTCTCTCCACCCTTGGCACGGCACTCGGGCTCTTCAGGGCCTGGAGTTTAGGGGAGGTGCCGCTTTGGAGGAAGACCTCGGCCAGTGCCTCCGCCGGTTCGCGCTCCTGCTGTGGTCCCCGCCCCTTATCATCTCCATTTCCCATTTCTCACCTCCTGACCTTGACCCATCTGGAGAACCCCCAGTTATTTCCACCTTCGTTCCTCCTTCTCCTCGGGTCCAGACTCCGCTCTCCCCGCATTCCCACCATGCTGACCAGTCTGCGGATGCCACTTCGCTTCGGACCAGCGTCGTAGTCCAAGCCCTGTGCTTAACTGCACCTTAGCTGTTCCCATCACGCACCCCTCTTGGCTGTCGCTGCTTCAGGGCATTCCATTTCTTGTCCCAAGCCAATTTTCCATCCCTAGGCCCTTCTTTACCCCTGCCGTTTCTGTCAACTCTATGCCTGTGTCCTAAAGTCCTCTCAACCTATTGGTTCTCAAACTTAACTATACTTAAGAATCTTGGGTTGTGTGTGAGGAGGCATGTTAAAATGAAGTTTTCCGAGCCTCACTCCCAAAGAGTCTAATACCTTGGGGCTAGGCAATGCTCAGGAGTCTACACTTTTATAAGTGATTATAATGGAGGTGTTCCCAGACCTACGATTTGATAACCAGACTGCATCCCCTTCCCATGCCACTACAACTCCTTATGAATGAAGGTTCACTATAATGAAGCTCACTAGAATTTAGTCTCTATGGTTGTGAGAGGAGGTAAAAGAGTTGTGCTTAGAGGATGGGTCACAGTTTGCTGGCTTCTGTTATACAACCCTGGAAGTGAGGCTTTGAAGGAATAACCTTTCTTTCAGAAGTTCAGCGCAAATTTTCTTTGCCAAGGGATCAGAACAAAAATTGAAGTCACTTAGTCCAAAAGGAATTCTTGGGTTGCCCTGTATGTTACTTCCTCAGCATATTTTTTTAAATTTATTTTTATTTTATGCATTTGAGTGTTATGCCTGCAGGTGCACCCGTGTCGTGCAGTGCCTGTGGAATACTCAAGAGGGCATTGGATTCCCTGGAACTGGAATTACAGGCAGTTGTTAGCCACCATGTGAGTGCTGGAATTCGAACCCAGGTCTTCTGAAAAAACGGCCAGTGCTCTTAACCACTGAGCCATCTCTCTAACCCCAGATTTTATTTTAATGTGTATGGGTGTTTTACCTGCATGCATGTAAGTACACCATGTACATGCAGTGCCTGTGGAGGCCGGAAGAGAGTGTCACATCCCTTGGTACTGGAGTTCCAGAAGGTTGTGAGTCGCCACATGTGTGTTGGTAACTGAACCCAGATTCTCTGCAAGAGCAGCCAGTGCTCTTAACCACTGAACCATCTCCCCAACCCCTCAGCAGATAATTTATTTCATCCTGATAGTGAATGACAAGAAAGACTCAGAAAAAGGTTGTGACATTTGACTTTACCAAAGGAAAACTCCTTCTTAAGTTATTTGATGTTGGTTTTCTCCATACAGGTTAGATTAGTTATCTGCTAAAGGATTCCCTTCTGTTAGCAAACTGCTAACTTATGTTGAGTTTTTTTGGGTTTTGTTCTTAATGAATTCCTGGTTTATATCCTCAGAAGTCAGGTAAAAGATTTCATGGCTTGGAGAAGAGAGGGTTGTTACAGCTTATTGGTAGAGCACTTCCTAAGCCTACACAAGACCCTGAGATTGAGCTCTGGCACTGTTCAAAAAAAAATTTTTTTTCACAGCCTTACTTCATGGCTGCAGAGTTCAGTCTGAACTTTTGAGTGGGGCAAATCCCAAAAGTGGGATGTTGAAACCCCTTTTCTTCTTTACCACATTTAGAACAAGGCTGATGCAAAGGACAGGAAGTCACACCCTTTCTTGCCATAGAAAAGAGTTCAATAAAGTGGCATTTATAGCTCTGCCCTGGGAAATTTTAGCCCTGTTCAGAGATTTCTAAAAGGTTGTAAGTAATACGTATTTCTGGTACACATTTATTTAATCATCAAATATTTGAGTACTTGTTCAGTGCCAGGAACTAGGGTATGGTTGTCAAAGGGTCAGGGTCCTATCCCTGTGGAGCTTTCCTCACTCAAGGAACCAGGCATGAATAGAAGAATGTCAAATGGGGCTAAGTGCTGTGAAGACAGCAAGGCGAAGGGATAGTGAGTGCTGGTAACTAGGCAACACAGCCGCTTGTGAGGGGCAGAGAAGTGTTCTCAGAGAAGGCGCTACAAGTTGAGATTTGGTTGACAACAGCTAGTCCTGTAAAGAGTGTCCCAGGCAAAGGAAATGACAAGTGTGATGGCCAGGATAGGGGAGAGAGCTTGGCATGTTTAAGGGACGTCCACACAGAAGGCTAGAAGAGCAGAAACGTGGGGAGAGAAAGGGTGGGAGCCAAGATAAAATTGGAGAGAGATAAGAGCAATTGTTTCTAGAACTGTGCTTGTGATTGGTGTGTGTTGTAGCCCACACTTTGCAGTTGTAGACAGTGTTTTGAAACGGATTGCTCTGTTAAGCTGTCTTCACTTCCTATCCCTCCAGGACAGCACATTTGGGAACCAGTTTGGTCTCAGCATATAGACAGGCCATGGATCCTAAGCACAGTGGAAAGCTCTGTTTATCTGCCGTGTATTATGCCACCTACGAATATTGTTTTATGCTTCCATCCTGAAAATAGTAACTGATTTCAAGAAATGGAGTGTGCGTCATTTACAGAGGCCAGTTTATAGAGGCACATGAGGAGCTGCATGTTTGGTGCACTAGTGAAAATGCACAGAGCAAGTTTATTTTGCAGGTGTATCTAGAGTCATGGGTCCATGTGAGTTTGGTTTGTGTTAAGCCCTTTACTGTGCAGAAGTCCGAATGGTCCCCACACCCTTTTATGCTTAGGCTATTTCACAACTATTTTGGGTGGGGTATGTCATCTTATTTGGAGCGTATTGGCTTCTGAGGCAAGTCATACAAAGAGGAACTGAGCTAGTGGATTCAGTGACTGTGGGAACAGGCTGGAGTTTGGAGAGGTTATTTTGCTTTGAACTTCAGAGTTGTAGGTGCACAGTTCAAGGGCTTTTCCCCTCTAAATTTAGGGAATGGCTCTTCTTCACTAAGAGTTGGGCTGCTACTACCCGCAGTCCAGTTAGCACAACAGTGGGTGTTCCCTGAACTTGCAGTGTAAGACTTCTCCCACTGTAGGAAAAGAAAGCCAGAAGTTTTCCTCCTGCCCTGGATTTAGACCATGCTATAGAGTTACAGGATAGAATTCATTTGGCTGGTGAGAATTGAGAAACAGGCTCATATCTCACTATGGAAAACTACTCGAGAATGTTTTAATGGAATGTGGGAAATGCCCATTGAGTAATAGGCATATAATACTCCATATATGTATGTATAGTATATAACTCATGTATATATTCACACTTTCAGTTTTGTTTTGTTTTTAATATTTTATTATTTTTATGTGAATAAGTGTATTGCCTGCATGTGTGTAAATGCACTCATGTCGTGCAATGCCTGTGAAGGTCAGAAGAAGGTGTCGGATTCCCCTGGAACTCGAGTTACAGATGGTTGTTAGCCACCATGTGGGTGCTGGGAATCGAACCCAGGTTCTCTGCAAGAGCAGTCAGTGCTCTTAACCACTGAGCCATCTCTCCAGCCCTGTTTCAGTTTTTATTATAGTTTTATCTTTATGGATATGATTCATATACAACAAAATTCAACCTTTTAAAGCACACAGTGTATCTAAAGAACTACTGTTTAATTTCAGAACACTTTTATCAACTTACACATTAACAGTTATTCCCAGGTTTTGCTTCCCCTTTTCCCCTAGCAACCACTAATTTACTTTGTGTCTGAGGATTTACTTTTTCTGGATACGTTAAGTAAAGAGAATTTACAATATGTGATCTTCTGGTCTGACTGCTTTTACTTTCCCGTGATATTTTCAAAGTTAACCCATGTTGTAGCATTCTTAATACTTTATTCCTTTTTATGTCTAAACTGTATGAATATTTGCTTAGGAATGGAGTTGCTGGGTCAGTTCACCCCCTTTTGAAGTAACTTGGGTCTCATCCAGTTTAGAGGCAGAGTAATGGACTGAATGATACTGCCATTCCTTTGAGCCGATGGAGCCAGTGCTCACAGGGCAGTTGGATGGAAGTTCCCTGCGCAGGCAGGAGGCCTGGACTCTGCCTCTAGTCTCCTGTGGTAGCAGCTGCTGTTCCTCTGGGTCTTTAGAGCTCATGGAAAAGAGGCCCTGGGGCAGTCAGCAGCCCAGGCGTATTCAGTACTGTCATGGATATGGTTTGTGACCTGGCGAATGACTTTGGCTTTCTTGGTCTATTTTCCGTATATGTCGTATGTGAAATTAATTTTGTTTTCTAACCTCCAAGTTGAAAATTCTGTGGCAAATCATGTATTTAAGGTACTTTTGCAAATCTGCCTACACATTCAGATTTGGTTTTTCCATGAACCCACAATTCTTGGGTTCTCTCCCAAGGTTTGTATTGGTTGTGCTTTCTGTCTGACCCCTGGAGGTGCCTTACCTGGCACATATTCTGCAGGAGTCACTGTCCAGGGAACTGCGGTGCCCATCTAGGCCTACTCTGAGGAGTTTTTTTAAAGGAGGAGCCAATCCCCCAGGAATGCAGCAGAAAAAACATTACGTTGCCTCTTGGTTTCTCTTTTACAACAAGGACAGAAGTCCCCCTTTCAAAAGTTCCCCTTTGATCTTGGCATTAAAGAAGCAGGTTGCAGAATATTGGAGAAGGTTGAGTTTTGATGTCTGGACAATGGCAGGAAAGTGGGAAGGACCTAGGATGAGCAGGGCCATCTGGCCACAGATGACTGGTAGGA